CTGTGTCAGCCCAGCCCACGGCAGCCCAGAGCGCAGACGGCCCATAGAGTCCCCATTGCTCGCGGCAGCCGGGGCTGTGACGCCAGCCTCCTCAGTTCTCTCTGGAAAGGACAGCTGAGTAGCACCCCTCCTCGTCCTGCAGGTTGTCTCCCCTGCACGTGGGGGCTCCTCCAGGGGTGCCCCAGCCGCTCTTCCTGGGGGGTGATCTCCAACGGGGGGCGGGGCAGGCCCACCAGCCCCGTCATTGCAGCTGCTCCCGGGGCTCGGCTGGGGCTCATCCCTTCCTTCCTCTGCTGTGCAGCCTGCCTGTCCAGCCACACCCCACCTCTGCTGTCACCTCTGCAGGTCTTGGGGGCCTACCCGGGCTGCGACCCCATCCTCATTCCCGAGGGGCTGAGCCCCTGCTTACCTGCCTCCTCAGGCTGGGATAGCGGCGCTGTCCACGCACGTAATAGTCACGCGGGGGGGCACCATGGTGCCAGGGGGGCCCTGACTTCCACACGTGTCTCTCCCCCCCCCCCAGCAGACCCCGGCCACTGGAAGTACCAGCGGCCCCACCTGCTCCTGCTGACTTCGCCGTGACTCCCCCTGCTGTCTGCTCCTCTCTGGGATCCGGGGGCTCAGGATGCCAGGGAGGCAGTGGCAACTGGTTCAAAGGGCTCTTTCCCAAGCCTCCCGGTGAGAGTGTGCCCTACGGGGGAGGGACCTGCAACCCTGCAGGGCCCCGGGGGGGCACTAATTCCTCAGTGGGCCGCTGGGTCCAGGATGCTCGTTCTCTTCCCCCTGGAAATGCAGTGCCACGTAAAACTCTCAGGTTCACTACCCCGCCCCCCGAGGGACGGCGCAGATCTTCTCACGCGTTGCCCCACCCTTGTGCTCTGGAAGGCTGTCCCCTCCGGTGAAGCTGGGTGGGGCAGCATACAACGCAGCCAGTGGGTCCTTTGCTGGGATACGGGCCCTTCGCTGGGGCGTGGGCCCTGGGCTGGGGGCCATACTGCGTGGGCCTCCCTGTCCCTGGATCAGGCTTCCGTGAGGCCCTGGATCAGGGTGACAAGCCCACACCTGAGCAGGTCTGTGAAGAACCCCCGTGGCAGAAGGGGCCCAACGTAGCCCACTCGCCACCAGGGGATGATTTGTTCTCCACGAAGAATGGGCCGTTTGGGGGCTCAGCCTTGGTGTCTGTGGCTGGTAGGTCAGACATTCAGAGATGGCAGTAGCCAGGTTGTCCCAGGCAGATGGGAGTCCCTGCTCCTGGCCCACATGTGGCCTCCGATGTGACCACTCTGTGCTATCATGCCATTTCTGGGGATACAAAACCCTTCACACTGGCCCCCACGGTCACTTGTCCATCCACAGGGCTCCAACCCAGAGTCCTTGTCCCCACCTCTGACCCTGATGGGTCAGGCCCCGCCCCCCCAGACTTTAGGCAGTGCCACGGAATCTGTAGATGTTCTCATCAGGGCCATGTTCTGGCTCACGCCACACATCCCACCAGACGCTGGAAGACTCACCCATTGGGAAGGCGTGTGCCTCACCTCAGCTCCATCTCAGCAGCGGATCCAAACAGTCCTGGCCCTGCACCCCACTCTCTTGAAAGGAGAGCTGAGAGGCATGCCCCACGGCGGACCAGCCCTGTGCCCTGGCATTCTCTGTGTCCTGCCTTGCTTCATTTCTTACAACCAGTGGATGTACACGTGGCTTCTTTACTGCGTGGTGTTTGCCTTCCTCTGTTAGGACAACTCAGTATAGTGCCTGATACATAGTAGGTGCTCAATAAAACCTCGTCCAAAGGATGAATGAACAAATCAATCAGTGGGTGAACTATCTCCTCTGTGAGGGGTTTGCAGGGGATCTGGTTTGGCGAATCTGGCCAGAGTTTGTGTGAATGGGGCATTTGCTCAATGGTCTCTCTGTTGGATGGGACATTTGGCGCACAGTATGTCAGCCATTTCAACAAATGGAGAAACTGAGGCTCCAGGCCACTCTCTCTGTGAGGATCTTGCTGAGCAGAGGGAGTGCCCTTGTCCCCCAACCCCCACCTGCCTTTCCCAGGGTCTTGGAGGGTTCTCTGCCATCCAGGGACCTGAAAACCCATTACTTGGGACAGAGCCCCCACGGCAAGATATCCTGTGCGTAGCCTCATGAGGACCTGCTTCATTCACCACAAATTGCCTTGGCCAAGTTGGGCCCAGCCCAGAGGACATCAGGCTTCTGTCCAGCCAAGGTCAAGGCTGACTTCAGGGACCTTGTGCTTTGGAAGGCTGTCCCCTCCAGTGACAAGAGTGTGGCCATTAAGTGAGGGGCCTCTAGCCTCATGTGACCTTGGGTAGGTGGCTTCCTTGCTCTACATAGGGACCTCCAATCCTACCCACCTTTGAGGGCAAATCGGAGTTAATGAGGTCATGCATGTAAATGCCAATAGGAGGCGCTCACCAGCCTTGGCCATGGTCACCTTCAAACTTGTGGGTCAACCCTGGCCCTCCCTCTCCTGATGGCCTCAACTCACAGAGGAAGATCTCCCCACTCAGAAAAACACATGACTCCTTTGTATCATTCAGCTGGCCCCCTGGTGCCAGGGTCTGAACTGAGTCCATGCCCCCTCCAGCTGCTGTGGGGCCAAAGACTGCCAGGGAAGGCTCCAGAATATTGATGGCCACAAGGACAACCATGGCCAGCTTCACTGAGACTACAGAGGGGCTGCCCTCTACACAGATTTCCCCTTGACTTGGCCCTCCATCCTGTACGGTAAGCAACACATAGTCCCCATTCCAAGATGGGGATACTGCGGCTGGAAGGGAGGCTCCCAGCTAGTGAGAGAGAGCCAGATACCCCATTCAGTCCCCACCAAACTCCCATCTCCAAAGGCCAGGGCTGAAGGACATCCAATCCACACAGTACTGTCTGGCCAAAGCCAGCCTTGAGTGGTTGGGGAAGAACAGAGCCTGGGGGTAGGGGGTCTGCTCAACAGGGAGCTGCTGGCTGAGCATGGGGGACAGTGAGTCCTGACCCAGGACTGAAAGTGTAGGAGAATTTGGGTGATGGGAGCAATGGGGTCTAGCGGCACCCGGCTGCTCCAGAGACTCTCCACATGGCTTGTCTCACCACCAACTAGCTGCCCGGTCCTGGCACTGCCCTGCCCACAGGGCACACTGGGGCGTGGTAAGGAGAGGCTGCGGAGCCTGTAAGGGGAACAGGGCTCGCTTCTGGAGGGGAAGAGTATAACCAGGTACTCAGAGGGGGCTTCTGGGATGATGAGCTGGAGCCCCACACTCCTCCTCCAGCAAAGGTTGTCATAAGCCACGGAAGAGTGGGTCCGCTAGGGCAAAGGTCTGGGGTCTCCTGCTGCAAACAGCTCTGAGGAAGGGTTAGAGGGAGCCTAGTCGCCCCCACTTCCGAAAGTTTCTGAAGTACCTCTTGGGGCTAGGGAAGGGGGTGTGTCCTTGCACAATCAGGAAGCTATTGTAAGTATGGGGGTGCCTGTGTGTGCCAGCGCCTGGGGTCGAGACAGCAGCCCCTTCCCTCAGCCTCACTGCCCCCCACCCCCATGGACTCGCCCATTTCTGTCCTCCTCGAGGCTTCTGCAGATGTGCGCCGCTGGAGACAGAACAGAATCACTGCTTTTCTCTCCCTCAGGCACTGTTCCCTGGCTGTCTGCTGTCTGATGTGTGTGTGTCTAACTGCTGCTGGTGGGTCCCCAGCCTGACGCTGGGTGGCTGTTTCCCTGGTCTGTGGGTGTCTGTGTGTCTGAGTGTAGGCGCATCTGTCTGTCTGCTGTGAGTGCCTCCTGCTGAATCTGTCCTTGACCCTGTCTATCTGAGCGTGTGTGTCTGGGGGGGAGGGGTGCTCCCTCCCGCCGCCTCTCCTCCCCCATCCCCTCCTGTAGGCGCTAACGCAGCTGCAGCAGCTGCTGCCTTGGCTGTGCCCTAAGCGCAGTGACCTCGTCTGTCCCTGCAGCAGTGACCGCCCCACTGCGCTGTCAGCCGGGGGAGGGGACCCATGGCTGAGCTCTGAACCTCTGGCCTCTCCCCCCTCAACCTGGGGCCGCCTGCGCCCCAGGTGGGTGTGCTCCCTTCCCACCTGGGTCCACTGGCTCCCCATCTTCCCTTATGTAACTCCGCAACTGTCTGCGCCTTGCAGGTCACCCTAGGCCCTGCGCTGGGGCCTGCCCACGGGGAGACTGAGACCCCGAGTCCCACGCATATGGGGGTTGGAGCGGACCCCTGCCCAGGGCTCCGGCTCCCAGAGACCCCTCCCATCCTTTCTCTTTGGGACGTTCCTTCCCCCTGAAACCCGCTTGCCTAAAGCATGACAGGAGGAGGGGTCTCGCTGGGCAAGTTGCCCCTAGTGCAGGTGCAGGCGTACCCCCCTCATTCCAGGTCCCCACAGTGTCCCCGGCTCCCGACGAGGGCCGGCCAGGGTCACCGGGGCTGAGGGCACGGGGCAGGCCTAGCGGCGCAGGTACCGGCTCCTGTGTACACGGGCCGGTTGGCAGCAGGCGTGCCCCCCGCCCCGGCGCCCGCCCGCTCGGGCCGGGCTCTCCGCCAGCCGCCGTGCGCTCCTGGCTGGGGCTCCGGCGGCCCGGCGGGCACGCGGCGCTGTCCGTGGTGCTGCCGGCGCCGGGCGGGGCGGGGGCGGGGCGGGGGCGGGGCGCGGGCGGCAGCCAATGGCGGGGGCGCTGCGCGGGGCGCGGGGGGCGGCGGGCTGGGCACGGGGCGCACTCGGCTGCGCGCTGCACTCGGGGCGCACCGGCGCTCTGGCGGCGGCTCGGGCTCTCGCTCCGCTCCAGGTCCGCTCGGGCTGTAGCCGTGGTGCCGCTGGCCCCATTCGGCCCGGATTCCGGCCCGGGCCCCCTCGGCGCCGCCCGCTCCGGCCCCGTCCCGGGCCTCGGCGCCCGCGGACCATGCGCCGGGCACCCCCCGGGGAAACCGGCCGGGCCGAGAGCCCGCAAACACCAGGCTCCCGGGCCGGGGCCCCTCCCGGCCGCCCTGCCGGCGATCGGCGCCCTGCCCCGCGCCCCGGCGCCGCCTGAGCCGGCGGGGCCATGGAGCGCACGCCGCCCGACGGGCCGCTGAACGCGTCGGGGGCGCTGGCGGGCGAGGCGGCGGCTGCGGGCGGGGCGCGCGGCTTCTCTGCCGCCTGGACCGCGGTGCTGGCCGCGCTCATGGCGCTGCTTATCGTGGCCACGGTGCTCGGCAACGCGCTGGTCATGCTCGCCTTCGTAGCCGACTCGAGCCTCCGCACCCAGAACAACTTCTTTCTGCTCAACCTCGCCATCTCCGACTTCCTCGTGGGTAAAGCCCCCAGCCCCCGCCCGAGCCCAGGAGTGCCCAGCCCGGCCGGGCCAGCAGGGATTGGAGCGTGGACTAGGGTGCTTTGTTGCTCGGGCACAAGCCCCGCCGGGGAGCCCTGTTTGGGAAGGGGGCATTCGGGACCCGTGGGGCGGTGGGCGCGGGCGAAGTTCCTTGCCTCCCCCGCCACAGGACGGGGACCCGGGAGGAATGTTCCTCAGGAAGGAGCGCCGGCGCGCGGGCGCTTGGCAAGGCGCAAGGCGCGCAGCGGCTCCTGCGCGGTAGTCAAACAAAGGCTGCTGGCGGACTCAGGACGTGAGGAGGGCGCTGGGAGAGGTTTGGGGGAGGGGACAGAGAAAGGAGTTTTTAGAGCCGTGGTGGGGGAAGGGGGCGTGGGGGAAGCGGGGTGGGGGTGGGGGAGATGCTCGGAGGAGCGCGTTCTCACGTGTCCGTGCACTGCTGCCGGCTTGGGGGCGGGGCGCGCGGAGGGGGCCGGAGCGCCAGACACCTGTTGGGGCTGCTAGGTGCGTCTGCCAGACACTGGTGGTGGTGGGAGCGGCTGGTGCGGCAGCAGCCAAATGCCCTTTGAGCCAGGAGAAAGGGTTTTTCGTTTTCTGAGCTGATGAGGAAAGGCTGTCCAAAGGCCGGGATAGGGCTGGGGTCCAGCAGGCAGAAGGAGAGGGAGGAAATTCTCCTTCCTCTTTTGGGCTTGGGAGGACTGGATTGGAAGTCCCAAATCAAGGCTCAGGGTCTCATGGTGCCCAGAGGTCCCCACCCCTGGATCTTCCCTCCTGCCCCCAAGTTCAAGGGACGCCAGTGGGACTGGAGGCTAGGCAGGGGTTGAAGGCCATGGGCCGGGGAGAAGTTGTGCCTGAGAGGGTGGAGGGGAGGGCAAGGTAAGGCTTGCTGGTCCCGGGAAAGTGGCCGCTGTGTAACCCCCAAGTCCTGCCTGTCTCTCCACTGTGGTGGGCCTCACCCCGCGCGCCCGTCCAGCCATGGCCCACCCAGGCCCCATTCTCCCACAGGGGCCTTCTGCATCCCACTCTACGTGCCCTATGTGCTGACTGGCCGCTGGCCCTTTAGCCGGGGTCTCTGCAAGCTGTGGCTGGTGGTGGACTATCTGCTCTGCACCTCCTCCGTCTTCAACATCGTGCTCATCAGCTACGACCGCTTCCTGTCAGTCACCCGCGCTGTGAGTCTGGGATGCGCTGCCCGTGTTCTGACCCGGGAGGAGGGGTGGTCAGGAAGGGGCCACAGCAGAGGATGGCCATTCCAAGCTGTAGGCGGAACCAGGTGAGCCTGGCCCTGCTGGCCTCACACCTGACATACGGGGTACTCTGTGGTCAGCTACCCACTCAGTAGCCAGTTGCTGCCAGTAGGATGGGTCCTGGGACAGGCAGGAGGCACTATCTGGACCTGGCTTCAGGTGTTCCTGAAAGAAGAGGGACAATTCAGCCTCCACCCTGGAGCAGGTCCAAAGTTCTGAGAGCTGAGGGAGGATCTGGGCCAGAGGCCCTTGGCGGTACCTCCACCACCCTCACACATACGTGTGTGTGCGTGTGTGGGCACAAGCATACCCCAGGAAGTCAGGCATCAGCTTCTGGCTCCACAAGCTTCCCTTGGTGTGAGTGGTCACCCTGAGTTAGGGACGCTGGACCGCCTGGCTTTCCCGCGTCACTGCCATGCAGGCACAGGGGCAGAAGCTGGAGCCCTGGTCTCCTTTGCCTTCTCGTATCCTCCTTGGTGGCTCTACCAGTCACTCTGAGCGCCCTCTGCTGGGGGCCTTATGTGTCCTAGTCTAGAGAGACCATGGGACAGAGGACAGAGCATGGGTTCGAGGTTAAGCCCCAGCTCTGTCCCCTTGAGCCAATCCACCTGCGGTCTCCGCCTCCCTCCCTGAGCCACCAGGAAAGTGAGGATGGTAATGGAGCTGCTGAGACATCCAAAAGGTGCCGAGCACAGGGCTTGGTGCCCAGTGGGCGCTCAGTGGACAGGGGACAATGGCAAGATACCCTCAGGATGCTCACCACTGGTGGGGGTAGTACGAAGGTAGCCTGGCACAGAGGTAGCATTCAGGGTTGATCTGAGGGATCAGATGCCCCGACTGTAGGAGAGCAAGCCGGGGCATCTGCCAGCCCAGGATTCTTGCGGGGAGGGGAGGGAGGCCATGCACAGAGGCCCAGAGGCTGCCGGCGGGCGGCGGTGGTGGTGGGGGGTGCTCCCAGCCCCACTGTGGCTGCCGCCTGGGCCCGGTACCCTTCCCTCCTGACCCAGCATGTCCCACGGCAGGTGTCCTACCGGGCGCAGCAGGGTGACACGCGGCGGGCTGTGCAGAAGATGGTGCTGGTGTGGGTGCTGGCCTTCCTGCTGTACGGGCCGGCCATCCTGAGCTGGGAGTACCTGTCTGGCGGCAGCGCCATCCCAGAGGGCCACTGCTATGCCGAGTTCTTCTACAACTGGTACTTCCTCATCACGGCCTCCACGCTCGAGTTCTTCACGCCCTTCCTCAGCGTCACTTTCTTCAACCTGAGCATCTACCTGAACATCCAGAGGCGCACCCGTGTCCGGCTGGATGGGGCACGGGACCCCGAGCCCGCGCCCGAGGCCCAGCCCTCTCCCCCGCCGGCCGCACCGGGCTGCTGGGGCTGCTGGCACAAGGGGCGAGGGGAGGCCGTGCCGCTGCACAGGTATGGGGTCGGGGTTGGCGAGGCAGCCCCTGGCACCGAGGCCGGGGAGGCGGCCCTCGGGGGCGGCAGCGGTGGGGGCGCTGCGGCCTCGCCCACCTCCAGCTCCGGCAGCTCCTCACGGGGCACAGAGCGGCCGCGCTCGCTCAAACGTGGCTCCAAGCCCTCGGCATCCTCCGCATCGCTGGAGAAGCGCATGAAGATGGTATCCCAGAGCATCACCCAGCGCTTCCGGCTGTCGCGGGACAAGAAGGTGGCCAAGTCGCTGGCCGTCATCGTGAGCATCTTTGGGCTCTGCTGGGCCCCATACACACTCCTGATGATCATCCGGGCCGCCTGCCATGGCCACTGCGTCCCTGACTACTGGTACGAGACATCCTTCTGGCTGCTGTGGGCCAACTCAGCCGTCAACCCTGTCCTCTATCCTCTGTGCCACTACAGTTTCCGACGAGCCTTCACCAAGCTGCTCTGCCCCCAAAAGCTCAAGATCCAGCCCAACAGCTCCCTGGAGCGCTGCTGGAAGTGAGCTGGCCCTTCATGGGCACCTGGGATGCCGGGGCAGGGCCCTCCCACTGCCACTCCCCCTCGAGGCTCTGGTTTCCCCTTGCGGGCAGCTGGCCCCGCCATCTCCTTCCTGGCTGCCCTGGCCGCCCCCCAAGTGGGAGGCCCGCCTTGTCTTTGGCGCACCCTCAATGCCACGGCAGTATGAGACCACCTGCCTGCAGTGGAGGCAGCTCGGTGGGCGGGCCAGAGGGGCCCTCGCTGCCTGAACCAGAATGTGGATGCCCGCCTTGCCACCCAGACCCTAGCTCCGTCCCGGGAGGGGCCGTCCCAGCCCTGCTGCCCAGCCTCCACAGACGGTCTAAGGGCCAGCGGTGTCACCCTTCACACAATTACTGCTCGGTGTTCTTCCCAAAGCAAGAGATTGGTGTGTGCTCCGCGCCTTGTGACGCAGCAGTTTGCCCCGCACGCACACACACCTGCACACACCTGCACACACCTGCACACACCTGCACACACCTGCACACCCCTGCCCCAGCCACCCAAACAAGCTTGGGCCATTGGCTCTGCTGTCTGTCCCTTGCTTAGGCCCAGGCGCCTGCTCCTACATCCCTTTTCCCTCCAACTCCCTCTGCCCCCAAAGTGTCAAGTGCCCCCCAGGAACCTCGCGGCCGTTCTCTGCTCTTCCATTCTGGGTGTTTCAGGAAGACGAAGAAGAAAACACGTCCGTGAACTCCCTGTTCCTTGGCTGTTTAATCAAGAGAGACAAAATTGCTGAGGAGCTCAGGGCTGGATTGGCAGGTGTGGGCTCCCACGCCCTCCTTCCTCACGCTGCTGCTTCCGGCTGAGCTGCACCAGCTGCTTCTGCCCACCCCGCCCCCGGGCTCGGGGTGCGGGGCCCTGATGGGCAGCTCTGAGAGCGGCCGGAGTGCCGGACGCCTGCTTATCCAGAAGGCTGCCCCTCCTGCTCCATCTGCTCAACCAGCTTCCTTGGGCTGACGGGTAGGGGGGGCACTGGCCGTGCCCTGAGGGTCCCGAGGCTTGCAGGGGCAGCCTGAGGAGACCAGGGCCCCGGGGGGTGCCCAGGGGAGGGGCCGTTCGCCATGTGCCGTGCACCTTGTCGGCGCTCTGCATGCTCCGCTCCCCGCGTGCCCACTGCACTACCCTGCAGACTTTGAGGTCCACAGTAAAGCGTATTTTTTTATTGGTGCTGATTTCTGAGGACTCCTTGTGGGGGGGTATGGGCTGAGCTCCTGTACTTCAGTCGGGACCCCAGGGAGATATGAGACCACCCCGCAGGGCATGAGGAGGAGGTAAGGGGGCAAAGGCTGGCCTGGCGGGTCACACTAGGTTTGATCCTGATCAGGGACACGTGCCCCAGCAGTGCCCCCACCATGCACACCTGTTCAAGAGGGTGGCATGGTGCTAGGAGGGGGCTCGCTCCAGCCTTGAGAATATGACCCACAGCACCCCCTCCCTGGCCCGATGCAGCCCGTCCACCCCCCAGGACTGGGGTTCTCATCTGTCTTGGCCGTGATCTTCCACCTGGGGAGCTTCCAGGAGGCGTGGGGACTAGAGCTGAGCTCAAGGGGTGGAGGGGAAGGGATGGGCCCAAGGAGGGGAGGAGGCACCTTGGTTAGAAGACCTGTCCTGGGCAGAGGCCTGGGGGCCAGACTGAGGGCAACAGATAGGGACAGGGAGAAGGCCGAGGGTGGTGCCGGGTGAGCATGGGTCCAATAAACAATCCGTCCCTGCAGCCTCCACAGAGGGGCAGACACTGCTCCCACCCCAGGGGCTCAGAGTCCACTCGGAGAGGGGAAAAGACCAGCACAACTTAGGGGAGATGCAAACTTGGGTGGGTCAGAAGCCACCTCCTCCCGGAAGCCTTCCTTCCTTTCCAGCCACTAGAGCCCTCCCTCCCTGACTTCCTGTTCTCTCCCCACCGTGTTGGCCCTGCTCCCGCAGGACTTCAGACAGAACCTGTCTGGTGATGCTCTCTGACAGCCAGACGCCACCATCTCCCTCTCTGGACACAGGTCCAAAAACTCTGCTGCTCACCACTGCAGAGCGAAGCGGCTCGCACCAACATGCAAAAGCCATCCTCCTCCAGGCACCTCGCACCCCACAGCTGTAGCTGCACCTTCATTTCCCAAACACCCCAGAAAACTTCCTCCAGAATCCTAAGCTGGCACCCATTTTCCCTGCACCACCGGGGACCCCTCTGGTCAGGGTGCTCTTCTTGTCCCCCTCCTTGGTGGCCGGAAGGGCTGGGTGCCGTCATGAGCAGAGGCTACAGTGGGGGCAGCAGAAGTGGTGGCAGAGGCTGCGGAGGCCACCGTCCGCGGGGCCCAGAGCTCAGGCGCGCCCTGTGGCACGGCCAGCAGCTAGCCGGTGGCTGCCCTGCTGGCCCCGCGGGACCTGGCCCGCCCCCCCCCCACCCCCACCCCCGGCGGGTGTCCGTCCCTGCAGCCCAGAGCTGTCTGGGGAAGGACAAAGAAGCTGTTCTCCGCAGCGGTGGGCGCCACTGTGCCCACTGCACAGCCAGAGCCCCCGGCTGCCCCTCCACCCAGCCCTGCTAAATGGCTACAAATTGGAGGATAAAAGCGCAGGCTTTCAAGCAATTTTGTCTTCAATCTCTGGAAACTGCTGCTCCCCGAGCTCCTGCGTAGGGATGGAGGAGGAGAGAAGAAAGACACTGAGTCTATTGGGCCTGAGTCCTGCAGCAAACAAACACGCCGAGGGGGCCTTTCTCCTTGGATTGGACGCGCTGGGGGGAGAGACAAAGCCGGCGGGCCCAGGGCAGGAGCGGCAGCCTCTGCAGGGGTCCGCCCACACCAGCAGCTGCTGTTTATTAAGCACCTACTGTGTGCCAGGCACTGGGAGGTGTGCCAGGCCCTGGGAGGCAGATCAACAACCAGCCAATAAGCAGGGCCATTCCCACGGGGACATCAGCGGGGCAGTGGGTGGAGAGCAGGGGTGCTCTGGCTCATTAGGCAGGGGGATGGGGAGCCCTGTGTGAGGAAGTGACGTTTCACTCGTTCATCTTGCGGACATTCGCTGACCCCAGTGGCGGGGCGCTTCATGAGGCAGGGGGACCAAGCCTGGGGACTGAAGGAAAAGCCCGCAGAGGAAGCGGTGCCCCTGGGAACAGGTTCTGGGTGTGGGTGCTGGGATGAAGACCCCATGTCTTCAGGGAGCCATGCAGGCACCCCCATCTTTCTGCAAAAGGCCAGGTTACCCAGTGTTTCCTTTGAGGAGCCAGGGGCACGACAAGGGATGGCTAGGGCCTCTCAGGCAGGGCTCTGGAGCCCTGACATATGGGGCAGCCACGAGGCTGTCTGTCCTCTCCCGCCCCCATCCCATGCTTACGCTCATAGCTGGGCTGATGGGTGCGAAGAACCTTTCCACCAACATTTGCTGGAGTACCCTCTGTCCTCACAGCCAGCCCACGAGGGGTGCTCACATTCTCCACTCGGCAGATGCGGGAACCAGGGCTCCAGAGGCTGGGAGACTGACCCTAAACCCAGCAGGCAGTAGGGGCTAGGACTCCATCCCCCCCATTCCACTGGGTTCTCCCCTGGGCACCACGGGGACAGTGTTGTCTGGAAGGGGTCCTGGGAGCCTTGGGGCCGGACCTCAGCTCTGTTGATCTCAGCACAAAGCGTGTACCGAACATCCACCGTCTGCTCTCTGCTGTGCTGTGCACAAGGAGCTGGGAAAGTCACCCTTGCTGAGCCGGCAAGTAGGGGAGAGGAGGGAGAGGAGGCAAGGTGGGCTGTGGAGTTGGAAGTCCCAGTGCCCAATTGCCAGGTCAGGCAGGAGGCCTGAGGAAGGGGACTGCCCCAGCCTGCCCAGCGGGTCCGTGTGGAGGCTGGGACTGAAGCCAGGTATCCTATGGAAACACCTAGCCCTCTCTCCTTCCTGTCCCAGGGGTGGCTGGCCTGGTAGCCTCCAAGGCTGTCCCCTCCGAGGCTGCCCCCTGGAGGGAGCACAGCTGGTGCGGCCAAGGCAGAGGGAAGCCTCATCAAAAGCTGGGAAGAGGCAGCTTCCTGGTGCCATTGTCTGAGCGTCTGGATCCAGCCTTGCCTAAAGCTAGCACCTGGACCTTTCTGTTTCATGAGTCACCAAACACCCTTTCCTTCCTACAGCTGACACAAAATGGGGTTTTGCAGTGTGATGGAAAATGTCTTGTCCAGCAATACTTGGCCCAGGTCAGCATCCCTCTGTCTCGGGGGCAACAGATCATTCCTGCTCATGGGAGGCTTGTGTCTCTGATTAATAAAAAAAGGGGGAAGTGAGTTACTTAGTAACATAGTAATTAGTTGTTTGTAATGGTTACGGGTCAGGAAGCAATCTTTCAACACATTGGGCTCTGAGGGTAGAAAAGGCCACCTGCCTGTGATGTCCTTCCTGTCCACAGGCTGCCATGCAGGGACCTGACCTGGCCCTCTGCTTGGCCTTAGATCTATTCACCAGGGCACCCAGGCGGCACTCAGCATCCTGCCCCCAGGGAAGCAGGCAGCTCACTGTGAAATCTGTCTGATAGGAATTTCTCAGAGGGGCACAAACATACGTATCTGTGGGGGATCCATCGCAGACCCCGTGGACCCCGAGGCCCAGGGCAGAGCCGCAGCCTGCACGCACCGTGTGCTCTCCTCCGCACGCACACACGCACGCACCTGTGGTCCAGGGTCAGTGATGACCTGGGCACAGCCAGGGAGTGTCAGTAACCGCGGAGGACACAGGACAGCTATCAGGCTGTCGGTGATGAAAGTTGTGTGAATGTGGCCTCTGGCTCGGAAAACACCTTCTCGTCCTGTGCTCACCCTCCCGTGACAGGTGAGGACGGGACGAAGTGACGTGAGCGACGCGGGCGGGTGACGCGGCGCGGGGGTGCCCCTGACCTTCTGACCCTGCGCCAGGGGGACCCTGTCGCTGAGACTGCGCGGGAGGGGGCACAGTTGTGTCCTTCAAAAGAAAAGGAGAAGGGAGAAGGGAGAAGACGCTTTTGGGTGTAAGGAGAGGAGGTGGCGAACGGCACTGAGCTGAAAGCTCATCCGTGACACTCCAAAGTCACACCAGTTTCCAAATTCAAACATGACAAATTTCATGATCTTTAAATGCTTCCACTTTAAATGATGATGATCTTTGGAGAGTCCAGCAAACCCTGGTTCCTAGCTGAGGTGTAGGAGCTGGGCCAGCTCAGTGGATGGGGAAGCGCCTGCCTTCTGCCCTCCATGCTAGGCTGCAGCCTGGGCTGGTTCCCCAGCTTGGCAGAACTACGTGTTCCTGGGAAGCCAGGAGGGTGGGCAGGTGGGCCAGCTGGTTCCTCACTGGCCCCTCCCTGGTGCCCCCAGGGCCCATCGGCTTTCTTTGTCAGCTGAGGCTCTTCTCTGTCCTGCTCTGTCCCAGGCCCACCAATCCATTAATTCATACTAAAGTGTGACGGACTGACTCTTTCAGGGAAAAGTGGAGATTTACACTTCAACAGAGGGCAATCTTTAAGTCCAAGTGAGTCAAATCCTAATGCAGGGTTTTGTTTTTGTTTTAAGATTTTATTTATTTATTTGACAGAGACACAGCGAGAGAGGGAGCACAAGCAGGGGGAGTGGGAGAGGGAGAAGCAGGCCTCCCGCCGAGCAGGGAGCCCGATGCGGGGCTTGAGCCCCCAACCCTGAGATCATGGGAGGCCCCCAGGTAGGGAGGGTGGCCAGAAAATTCCAATAGGCCATGCCCCACCCCAGAAGCGCATGTTATAAGTTACTTCCCCACCCCACCTATGTCAGGACAGCCCCAGCTGGCCACTCCCGACCAGCTGCCCCCTGGTGTACTTGAGGTGGCCTCCGCAGCAGCTACCCCCTCCCAGAGATAGTGGACGCCTTCCTTC